ACTGACATACATTAGACATGGCACGTGGAACTTGAACAGTCTATTCCAGCAAGCGAAATAAAGCGTTCAGTTCGACATTCCAACTAACTGAAGAAGTCCGGAGCGTACAACGGCCGAAACGTTGTGATAAAGATGGCAACAAAGATGAGGACAATAGTCCGAATAATGTAAATGTACATAATACGTCATCACAGAAATATAGACTGATTTATTTTCAGTACATCAAAAGTTATTTTAGTGGATACTCATATTTGAAATAGATAACCCGTTTTTATTTTTTATTTCAAACAGTATATATTAGGAGTTTATTTCGAATACGAGTATATACGTACATCTTATTGTACATATTAAATAGATAGTGTACACTCTGGTCGATTTCGACGTAAGGCCCAAAAGTTTAATATTAGAAGTGAGTCGCTAGACTACATTTTCCGAAAGAAATGACTATAGAGAATTCGTGCACCGTGTAACAACGAATTATTAGACTATTCGGTAATTAATTACGTAAATATTAGTCTGTTAATTAAATACGTATTTCCCCGTTATGAATTAGGATTCAACCAACAAAGGCCAAACTAATGTTCAGTCATCGGAAAGTGTGTCTCCATTTGTCTTATTACCACTTCTGTCAGACAGAGTGTCATTTATACTGCATTTAACACTTCTTATATTACCACTTCTGTCAGACAAAGTGTCATTTATACTGCATTTCATTGGGAAATTGTAAAAACGCGCAAGAGGAAATTTGGTTTTCTCATACCCTTTCGCTTGAGAAATTAACGCAAAATTCCGTCACAGAGAGCAGTCTTTTAACCAGGAATGCCAAGTCTCAATTTTTGCATTATATCTATATTTACCCGGCCTCCATACCAAAGCTGGATGTGACACAAGGCTGTTTTGGCATGGGAAGCGCCATACACATTATTATGCATCTGGCCCAAGGAGAAAAATTGAATTTTGCCCAGCTCCGGCGACCACGCGGGCATTGATATTGCACCGATTCAACGAGCGGTGAGGAAGGTTCTGCCGCAGGGTTGGAATCCCCTGGGCTGAGCAAATTCTCCGATTGAAAATGAGGAGAATCATAGCTCCACTTAGAGCATAGAGACTTTAACCACGCTTCATTAAACTCTCATTGGATAATGGTTTTACTGCTGTGGAGAAGTAATTTTTGCATCTCAGGCAACGGAAAACATAAAAAAGAGAGGCAGTCACAAAATGAGGAACCAGTACCAACACCAATTTCGGGTTTCTATCCACAAATGTCCTTGCTTTGTATCTGGACGCGTGTCGTCCATTATGAGCTAGTGAATAAGGAACCGCTTTTATTTGCAGCAACTTGGTCGAGTAAATGTAGTATAAGTTTGAAAGTGTTCTGCTTTGGTAAACAGAGGACGTTATTCTTCAATATGGCAATTCGAAGGCACACTCCTTGAAGCAGAAATGAGATCGTTTGGCTGGGAGTCTCATCTACAGACACATCAGATTTAGCATGTAGAGATTTCCATTTGCTTCTATCACTAGAAATGGCAAAGTATCTAGAAACAAATAACATAAAAACGAGGAAACAAAAATTAACCATTACGCTGGGCTGCAATCTTTGAAAATGTTAGGTTGTATAGCCAAAGCCAGATCCAGGACATTCTCATAGCTGTTGGAGGAACCTCTCCTCGATTAAATATCTTCACTCTTGGTCATTTATCTCTAGATGTTGGTTTACAACCTAGAGTTTTTCATCTCCTATACCGGTTGTCAAACAGGGCTATTGGACCAAGTCTGTCCTGCTATTTACCCATAGTTGAGTGGAGAAGGGATAGATTTATAGTTTTTCGACGGAAATTTGCCCGTAATGAAACCGAGTGGAATTATAATCTTCGATTCCTCAATCCGAGCCCTTATCCATTACTTCACAGTACCTTTTTTTATTTTGTAAATAATATTTAAATGAACATAATTTACTTTTCTTTTTATATCCTTTTTGGTAAAAGGTAATTAGTTTCGAACGCTCTAATATTTTCACATTTAAAATGGATTACGTAAATAGCTTCCTGTTTTAATGTTCTCAGAAAAATTGCTTTGAATAGCCTACTCGTTAATCTATTTTAAATTTTATGTTGTAAGATTATATGCAAAATGAAGGAGAAATGATGTAATATTTCATTGAAAAAAATCGTCATTTTTAATTATTAAAAATATTAGAGTAATTAATCAAATCATCACTAAATTGTAAAGAACAAAAGGAAAATATTAATGAACGTCTCAAAAAACGCCCACACTGAGAGAAATTGTAAAGTCTCAAATCATGAAAGGTCTGAGAAAAAGAAACTTTGAACGTCAAAACATGAAATATAACTGTTTTTGCTTGAAACCTTTCAATCTCCGCGCTTGTCAAAACTTCATGTTTTAAGAAGACCATGTGATTGGCGATTGGGGTTAAAGTGTGCAAGAAATCAACTTCTGAAGTAACAGTCCTTCATCAAACTCACTCTCTATCAAACATTGACCTCCCTCTCTCTTTCCCTTTCTCTCTCTTTCTCTCTCCCTTTATCTCTCTCTAACAGACATATATAAATATAAAATTACAAGCGACAACTGACTAACGCTACACACACGCGCGCGTCGGTGTGCATCTATGGCTCAGGCGCATCAGTCAACTCGGATATTCGAATTAATGTGTACGGAATCAAGATTTAGATATCTTGTTGATAAAGTGCAAACTAAGTTCATTTTTTTTTTTGCATCAACAAATGTAGTGTTGGTAAGAGTTTAACTTGCTCTAGGGATGACCTTATTTTTCTGTTTAAAATTCAATTTACGTTTTTTCATGATTTTTATTCTTTAGTTATGGTAAGATGAACTAGTGACCAGTGTATTTGTCCTTCCATATATGTCAGGTTCCAAATATTTATAAAAAAAAAAAAACAGTAATTACTGTTTACGTTATAAAATATAAATCCCGATTTTAAATAAAAATCAATTAGTTTATAGTTTCAGGTTCGTTTATTTTAATACATATTTATTTACATTATTCGGACTATTGTCCTCATCTTTGTCGCCATATTTATCGCAACGTTTCGGCCGTTGTACACTCCGGCCTTCTTCAGGTTGTTGGAATGTTGAACTGAACGCTTTATTTCGCTTGCTGGAATAGACTGTTCTACTTCCACGTGCCATGTCTAATGTATGTCAGTTATTCAGGTGGCTGGAATGTCGAACTGAACCCTTTATTTCATTCACCGGGGTAGACTGTTCTAGTTCCACGTGCCATGTTTGATGGATGTCAGTTATCAGTTATCTACTGTTAATTTCCCTCTGAAAGTTCTCCACTGCCTTAACCGGGTATTGAACTCACACTCTTTGGGTCCTGTCACTGGATCTAACCAACGCCTTTATCCACTGTGCCAGAGGGAAATTAACAGGAGATAACTGATAACTGACATCCATCAAACATGGCACGTGGAACTAGAACAGTCTACCCCGGTGAATGAAATAAAGGGTTCAGTTCGACATTCCAGCCACCTGAATAACTGACATACATTAGACATGGCACGTGGAAGTAGAACAGTCTATTCCAGCAAGCGAAATAAAGCGTTCAGTTCAACATTCCAACAACCTGAAGAAGGCCGGAGTGTACACCGGCCGAAACGTTGTGATAAATATGGCGACAAAGATGAGGACAATAGTCCGAATAATGTAAATAATGTACGTAATACCTCATCTCAGAAATATAGACAGACTCTAATACATATTTCTAAAAAAAGGCCATTAATCCTCGTTTATTTTAATTATTAAATAAACTATTAATCCGCTTATTTTAAATATAAAATATAAACCCCATTTAGTTTACATAATATATATATATATATATATATATATATATAAAATAAACCCCGTACTCTCTGTATAATATATGGACTGTGCTAGCATTGCGTTAACCAGATATTTTATTAAAATTTAAATTATGTAACAGCCAGTCTCTGCTCAGCACCTGAAGTTTTCTTTGTGAATGAAACTCCGAGGCGTGCTACAAGTGAGGAATAATAGGTATATTTATTAATATATACTTAATTGCTCTGTTATATCGAGCACTATTTTGTTAACAGCATCACGCAATGTGCGATAGCTTATATACTTACATATACATATATATTTTAACGCAAATACCCTTGAGAAAATATGAATTCACATAAATTCACCTAGATATCTGTTAAACATCAAAACCGTATGGGATGTCTAGCCTTGGTTGCCAAGAAAAACTCGAGGATATCTGTTTGAAGTATTCGTGGTATACTCTACACTAATTTTCTGTTATCATTTCATGGATTTTTTTAAATGTGTCATTATCCTAACAACCATTTGTCTTATATAAAAGGGTTATATATACAACATTCTCCATATATATATATATATATATATATATATATATATATATAGATAGATAGATAGATAGATAGATAGATAGATAGATAGATAGATATATACAGTGTGTTGCAGCAAAATCAGACGCTTGAGTTACGTACTACATTATTTTTTACCATCTCAAGGCGAGCGCAAAATGAGTCACACGATTTAGCGACCATGGCCTTATCCATAGCGGCGAACGCCTCCACGATGGCAGCCTTCAGAGCGTCGACCGTATTGTGGACGTGCTTGTTGGTCTTGCCCTCGATCACGCCCCAGAAGTAATAGTCAAGGGGCTTTCAGTCGGGTGAGGAGGGCGAACAGTGGTGAGAAATATTGTTGGGCAGTGACGCCTGGGTCGTCTTGTCCTTGTGTGCAGGAGCGGACTCCTGCTGGAAGACGTAGCGGCGATCTTGTCCATCCAGGTCTTCACCACGCTCCTCAGCACCTTCTGGTAGATCTCAGCGCTGACACTCAGGTCCTTTTGAAAGAAGAAACAAAGGCATGACGTCCTTCTTGCTGGAGATGACACCAAGGACCATGACGGAGGAGGGAAACTTCGTATGCTTACAACGGGAACTTCCTCGATGCCTTTGCAGATCCACCTGCTGTTCTGCCTGTTGTTCGTCTGGTCTTGGATGAAATTCTTTTCATCAGAGAAGAAACTCGGGATCCCGGCGGACCCGTGCTTGAGCTCAGTCAGCAAAGCTGCCGCCTTGACCTTCCTCGACTCCTTGGAGGCATTCGTGATGAGAATGCGTTGAGACTTGCGGTAGTAGGAATAACCAATTGTCTTCTTGATCGTTCGGCAGATCATCGACTTGTGACAGACCATGTCAGCGGCGATCTTGGCATAGCTCTTGCTTCCATCATTGTTGACTGTCTCCTTGACACCGGCGACGAAGTCGTCAGTCCTAACGAACGTTGTGGGCCTTTCGTTTACCAGTAAACTCGTCCTTGTTCTTACACGCCTTTCCCTTCCTCCAAATGTCCATGACCATGGTCCTCTTGAACACAAACCAGGCCATCACTTCCGCAGGCTTCTCCCCGGCGCGAAAAGAAGTTACTATCGCTGCTCTGCGATCATATTACATCCTGGAATAGGGTAGAGAGAAAAAAACGTTAGTTAGTTGTCAAACTTTCTGGTATCTGCATATACAGTTTTTGTTTTTATTGCCTATTTCGTTTTCTTTTTGTCAAGTGTCGGATTTTCTGTATATAATACTAATTTGTAACTGGTAGGGACAATTGCAAGGAGGATATTAATCTAGGGAGAGCTAAATGTAAACTACAGAGCATTATAATAATAATCGAGAAGAAAACCTTAAAGATTCATTCCGGTTATAATTTATTTCGTGAATATCTATATATCCATCTCTTCAGATGTATGACGCATTCAGCGGAGGAGGGCCATATTCAACATTTGATAATTTTGCGGCAATACACGCATAGAGGATTTAGGCACTTTTGATCAGCATTTGTTTTCATATTTAGCCGTAAAGAATTGTAAATGTAGGACTTCCTTACACTTAAGTAAAATAATAACAATAATTATATTAAGAATTTATTACAGGAAATATCAAATTTTACGTAAATGTTGTTGACAGTTATGTATTTAGTTACAAAACAACTAAATAAATATAATATACATTTTGATGCTATATTCGATTTATTGTTAGGTATTTTTCATTTTCTCCTTTGTTACTGGCAGCTTTTTAGAATACTTTGGCTGCAGTACTAAATTTCCTTAGTTGAACAAATTGGAGCAATTTCGTTTACGCTTTGTTACCTCTCTTTTCCATTGTTGATTTTATATCGCTTTCTGAAATTTTGAAATTTTCTGTAAAAAGGAATATTTTAAATTAATATAAGACCAAAAATAAAATAATTTTGACAAAAAAAAAAAACAAAAAAAAAACGATTTCATTATAACTATGTAACAATAATATAATAACATTCCGCAGACAAATCTATGGTTTATCACACCTCATTACATTGCTAGGTTACGAACTATAAACCTAAACTTAACTGGAAATATTGTGCAATCGGCTCTAATTTTTTTTATTTGTAAAATCTTTGTATATGATATAATGAATAATTTGTAGGGAAAAAGCAAATTTCAATATTTTGTTGAATACGCCCCCCCTCCGCCTAACGCACCATATATATATATATATATATATATATATATAATTCATCAAGTTTAGACCTAGAATCCTCAACATACACACATGCAGAAAAGAACTTGATCTAAGATATACCGGATCAAATGATGGTTTCTCCTTCAAAGGAGGACGCATGATTCAACCCTGCCGGAGAGCAGATTTTCTCGGGAGATCAGGACGATAGATGTAATAAAAGACTCTTCAAAATAAAAAGAGAGTCGATTACAAATATTAGTATCCACAAAAACACAATTGAAGTAATAAAAAAGTTGAATTAAAAAAAAAATCCATTAAGACAAAAACACACATACACGCACGACCACACACACACACACGTAACAAGCTAGATGGCGAAAAATTATTTTACATAATAAATACATATTTTTCAATCATTTTAACCGAAGCAAGGCGGGAACGCAGGGGTTAATGAGAGTGAAGGCGAGAGATAAAAACACTGGGTATACGGGGACCAAGGAAAGGATAAAAGCTGAACGGGGTTCAAGAAGATTGCGATTGTCATTATATTTAAATGTTTGAAGATTGTAGTTGCCTTGAAAGCAAGGAAACGGAAGGGAGTTCCTCAGATGGGAAGTGCAAGTAAAGAAACTGTTGGAATAGAAGTGACAGTTGCATTTAACTAATTCAACAGTAAAATCGTCGGATCTAGATGCCAATCTTGTAGCACGCTTAAACTCAGGCAGTCAGGACACCCGGGAAAAGCTCGCCAGATCAATAGCCAAGCATATATTTGTAGAAAAGACAGATGGAAGCCACATCAAGTAGGGGAGAAATTGAGTGAATTAGATTTACCAAGTCAGCATCTATTACATTACAGGTCTTCTTTGGATTTTGTCAAGAATTTCTAGATGAACTGCAGAGGCACCAGACCAGATATGGCAACAGTGTTCAATGCACGGAGGAATGGTAGATTTGTAAATGTGCAAGTTGGATTCTGACGAGAAAAACCTTCTGGCACAACACAATGAACCAACTTTTCTGGCAGTATATGCCGCTATTAATTTAATGTAGTTGTTCTACTTCAGGTCAGCTGAAAATGTGAGACCAAGAAAACATTGTGAGTCGCTCTCAATGATTGTTGATTGTGAGGATGGAAGTTTCTCCGTGTTGGCTAAATGAGAGCAGTTTATCTTTGGAGACATAATTTACAAGCCATTTCCTACTCTAGTTAACCACTTATAGGAGATCCTTTTCAAGATCATCGCCCAGGTTAACTTTGCTATTGAGAAAGGTGTAAATGGTAGTGTCATCTGTTGGGAACTGATGACATCAGGAAGATCATTGAAGATGAGAAACAGCGTATGAATCAGGATAGTGTCTGGAAGCGAGCCCGTTCAGCACGACCTTCATTTCACGGATTTGATAGGAACGATTGGATTAAATAAAACATTCGTCCTGTAATACCGTATGTCGTCCTGAAGCTTGCATAGAAGACCAACATGCCCTAGCTCGTCAAACACCTTTGAGACATGTAGAGTCACAACACGAGGTTTGCCGTTATTATCAAGAGCTTAATATACACTGCGTGCCAAATTATTATCGTATATTTCAAAAACCGTCCAATCAATTCACACAAAATTGGCAACACTGGGATGCGCAATCACTGAAATTTTCGTACTGATCTGCGCAATGTAAACAAATTCGCGCTATATTTGATATCAGCACGGTAATTTGAGCGTGCCTAATTATTAGAAAAGTATAAGAATTTAGTGAAAAGATGGGCCATAAAAGCAGTTTAAGTGATGCTGAAAAGAAAACTATTACCTAAGAACTCTCAAAAGGTAAATCTACCCTAGAAATTTTTAAAATGATAGGGAAGTGTCATCAAACAGTGAAAAATTCACCGCCGACCCTACACAAGTACGCAAAAGGGCATATAAAGGGAGGCGAGGGTTATTTCACGTCGTCTCATGTCCCGACTTAAATGAGAGGCCACGAAGGACCTTGGATATACCAGTCAAGAGCTTTTCAGTCGTATTGGGGATCCTACTGTGTCTAAAATTACTCGGTGTCGGTATCTGAGGGAAATAGCAACAACAGTCAAACCTGTATTGAAGCCTCCGTTGACGAGAAATCACATTCAAAATCGATTGAAATGGGCCGAGGACAATGTGAAGATTGACTTCTCTAAAGTTATGTTCACAGACGAAACTTGAGCAACACTTGATGGGCCAGATAGATGGTGCAAAGGCTGGGTAATGAACGGATAGAATCGCCATCAGTGTTTGAGACGCCAACAAGGCGGCGGAGGCATAATGATCTGGGGTGGTATTATTGGAAACACATGGAGAGTACCAGATGGCATCAAAATTACTGTTGAAGCATGCATAGCGTTTATACAGGAACATATTGAACCGTGGATGAAATGCTAAGAGTTGCCTTCAGAAGGGCTATTGTTTTTATGCAAGATAATGCTCCCTCACACGCTGCTCATAAGATTACTGAATATTTGAAACAGTTAGGCTTCGATGGACCTCGAAAAATGAAGTGGCCAGCAAATTCTCCGGATTTGAACCCAATCGAAAACCTTTGGAGCATCATGAATCGAAGACTGTACGCCAACGGACGACAATTCAGGAGCAACGCTTAGTTGTGGGAAGAAATTCTTGACATATCTCGCGGCATTACAGCAGATGACATCCTGCAATTAACAAATTCTATGGATCGTCGACTTTTCCAAGTAATTTCAAAACAGGGAAAGCACATTCCCTTTTAATTTGTTTAAAAATGTGCCTTTGTTTGTATCTGTTATTATTTGTTTGATTATCTTATTTATTAGCTTATTTTGATCATAAACATTCACGATCAACATTAATAAACGTTTTGTTTGCTAAATTCTGGGAATTTTACTAAATCTTTTTAATAATTTGGCACGCTCAAATCACCGTGCTGTTAACAAATATGGCGCCAGTTTGTTTACTTTGCGCAGATCAGTACAAAAATTTGTGATTGCGCAGCTCAGTGTTGCAAACATTGTGTGAAAATCTTGTGTGAATTGATTGGAGGGTTTTGAAATGTTCGAAAAAAGTTATCTCTAGAATAATTTGGCACGCAGTGTACAAATTAAATAATGACCGTAATCCCGTCAGCGATAGACCGGGCAAAACGGAATACATATTATGGTAATGAGTATGTATCTCGATAGAAAAAGGAAAAGTCTGGGAATTTTAAATTTTTTATAGTTTAAATGTCTGTTAGTCTGTGAAGCTACATATTTTCTGTGTCCAGACGGATACATAGCGATCAAAGTTAAAGGATTTTTTTAAAAGACATTTTATTCATATTTTCCTTTTCTGAGGCCGGAAGATATTTTTACCTTCATTGTTCCAAAATTTGAATGAAATCTTATCTATCTATTTATCTATCTGTCTCATCCCCTCCGTTTAAATCTATCTATCTATCTATCTATCTATCTATCTATCTATCTATCTATCTATCTATCTATCTATCAATGCATATCTATATCTATCTATATATATATATATATATATATATATATATATATATATATATATATATATATATATATATATATATATATATATATATATATAGATAGATAGATAGATAGATGTAATAAATGTATAAAATATAATAATAAAAAATGAATAAAATAACTATATAAAAGATAAATATATAATATATATATAAAGTGTGTTCAAATAATTTGGAGGTATTTTAAATGTGAATTAAGTTTAAGCGTCTAATGACTTTTTTTCTTTTTCTTTCGGATTTAACAACTTTGAAACCATGGAAAAGATTAACAATCAAATAACGTGTTAAAGTTATCGAAGCCTATTACGAAAATGGACGTTCAAACAGAAACGTATTTCGCGCACTCAGCAATTTTTTGGGTCAATAAAATCGACCAACCAAGAGTGCAATTAGAAACGATGTAACTTTGTTGTGAAGAAGTTCAAT